ATTTCGGCACTTTTCAACTTAGATTTTTGGCCCTATCTTGAATATAGAGATGAACAGTTTCTTAGTGCAACTCCTCTTTAACCGCTGCACAGAATTTGGTTAAACTTTGCAGATATTAAGTACACAGTGTGTAGATGTGCATATTACCAGGAAATTCCGATTCCATTATTTTTGCCTTAAGAGTTTTGCCTATATTAAAGAAAACTTTCCAGCTAGGTAATAAGGAAATCCACTGGAATCAGCTTCTGTAATGAAATTTTATGTGAAATATTTTATGACCTTAAAAGACCCCTATTGATTTTGATCTTGGATAGTTCTCTCTCCCCCCCCCCCCCATCAAATTGGTACTTTGCCCTAAATAATTGCATAAGTACAGCATATAAACAAATTTTATATGACTACATCATAATTGTGTTTCCATCAATTATTTAAATGTGTAAATTGTCATGTGTTGAACATGGACTTACCCTCATTAACAAATCGAAATCACTGAGGAATTTAAATAACAGTTTGTCAGCATAACTCCTGCACCGAATTTCCTGAAATTTTGTAGGTATTTCATACGTGATGTATAGATTTGTATATTACCAAGAAATTTTGATTCCATTATTTATCTGGAAACTTCAGCCCAATTAAATTTGTAACATACAGAGATTTGAATGTTCTTATATGCAAGAAGTTTTGATGTGATGATTTTTTGCAAGTAATGCCCCTTTTTGAATTATACTGTGTATTTAAAATGCACTGTGCCATTCATTACGTGTTGCATTGTCGAGTTTTGGGGAGCGTGGGGTATGTGAGCTTGCTCACTTTTTCTTTCATTAATTATTTGAACACTCCCCCTTAGATTTTAATTATAAGGTATTTTTTATGCGTGTCCAGTTTTTGAAGTACAGTGAAAACTGTCTAATCTGACACCTCTGCAATTCGTTTCACTGTGAACTACAAGCTTTTCTTCATTTTTATTTGATATTTTTACAAGTGTTTTACTCTGTAAAATCCAACACCCTGTCTATTTTGACACAAAATTTGTCTCCTAATGCCTGTCGGATTAGAGAAGTGTCACTGTATTGTCATTAGTGTTATACCATAAAGTATTACATTGTATTGCATTTTGTTATACCTACTTTTTTCCCTAAGAATTTTTTTTATATATAATATGTATGAGACATTGCAAAATGAATTGATAATTTTTTTTACTATGAAGCAGGAGGTGCCTAATTATGTAGTCAGTGTTTTGTTGTATGTATATATATATATATATATATATATATATATATATATATATATATATATATATATATATATATATATATATATATATATATATATATATATATATATATGTTTTAATTTTTTCTTTATCTCTAAATCTTTTTTTTTTTGTTTTTGGTATCTTGAACGTACCTTTTTAACGTTACATTTCAATCAACTGTTAAGTATTTAGAAAATATATTTATATTGGGATGTCTCCATATTACTTTCATGAAATGATCATCAATGGTATTTTAGGCATGTAATTTAGTCTTTGTGTCTCTGGGATATTTTATTGAGATTTTCAAAATATTTATCGGTACAAATTACTGACTAAGATTTGAAGTATATATGCCATTGTAAGTAATAGATATAATAACCCTGAGTCGGAGTCTAAATAAGCTTTTGTACATAGCAAAGAAATGTGCCCAGAATTTAGTGGAAATGAAAACTACATTTTGTCCAGAAGGCATTGACAACTGAGGAATGAATTGAAGGATGTTGCTCATATTATATTATTAGGCTGCAAGACATAGCAGATTTTCTTAAGGTGTGAATGGAAATTTTAGCGCGAAATTTAGTCCGCGGATATTTAAGCGAAAGAAAAATTGGTTACCTTTAAGAATTCAATAGCCCTTAGCAGAATTTATTTAAGAGATAAATAGATGCTGTGAACATTAGCGACATTCTTAATCATAAAAAAATTCAGTCTTACATTTCACCCTATTGCAAGTTGAAGACTACACCCAGCATTTCCTATTGATAGTCCCAAACTATTGTTATAACTTTTCATTTATATACAAACCTTACAATGCCTTGACATTGAACATCTAAATCAAAATCCTCTAAAAAGTTGTACTCCTTTCATATACAATGACATTGGAAACGTCATTACGGGTGATGTTGATACACTATTAGTTAAAAATGACGGCATCAAAGCAATCATCTTAAAAGATCCTAAAAAGGGAGTCCTGAACTTTAAATTGGCGACAGAACTTCATTTCTATTATGAATTCTGACGAAGATTATGACAGGCTTTGGCCTAAATATGAAGGAGAAGACCTGAACACCTTGTCAAAATGGATTAAGTGTTTTAGAAATATATTAAGTATCAGTCACATTATCCAGCAATGGGGTGTACGATGGGCAACCGATGCGTTCCTTTGATAAAAATGGCTTGGTTGCCGGCCGGACACCCATAGTTATCGGACGGTGACTGAGGCCATCGGGCGAATCGGTGGGGGTCATCGATAGAAAATAAGTTGCATTTAAAAATCAGCGATGTCTCCACCGATGCCCCACATCGCTCCTTATCGGCAACCCATCATTAAAACGTCTTTCAAGCATCTTTGTTATTTAATGAATGTCCAAGCATCGTACAGCCTACGTTGAATCTGAGGTCATTCGGGGTGAGTGGTGGCCAACAGACATCGGCCGATCATCGGTCGATGCTCGAACAATTAAACACTGGCACATAGTCGACCGATGTACGAACGATCTTCAGCAATGTATGAGCGATGTATTATACATCAGCCGATTACCGCTCGAACATCGGTCTATGATAAGCGGTGCATCGCTGGGCCTTTATAAGCGCGTCATTTTTCATATGTACAACATTCATTCAGCAGACAACAACAGTGCCAAGACCGCACAAAGAGAGCAAGAAACCCCCAGAGGGGAGTGACAAGGGCAAGGCCAGTGGCAAGAGCAAGGCGAGTGACAAGGGCAAGGCCAGTGGCAAGAGCAAGGCGAGTGACAAGGGCAAGGCGAGTTTCAAGGGCAATGCGAGTGACAAGGACAAGAGCTAGGCGCCGAAGAAGCCAACCAAGCACCGACCAGGACCTCACCCCGCAAGAGACCGCAACAGGATCCAGAGAGTACAGACACTGACCACACCATCGAACATGAAGAAGATTTCGATGACAACACCTCGGAAGCCTCCACTACCTCGTCCATCACCGGCTCCAAGAAGAGACAGCGTGTGGGGATGCCACTAGAGGAAATATCCATGAACACCATGAAGAGGATAGAGAGCTGGTTCGAGTACATGCCAATGTTCTATGACCTGGCCGACCCAATCTACAAAAACACTCAACTACGAAACATGAAGCTGACGGAATTCGGCTGGAAAATCTGGTGAGTCCTTTATATATTATCTCTTATATGACAATTGTGAATAATTGTAAAACTTTTTGAATTTCAATTACAAATGTTTCAAATATATAATGTATACAAATTAGTGCACAATAGTGCATTAATTATAAAAATCTGTATGCACATCAATGTACTTAACATAATTGCATGCACATGAATTGCAGGAAAGGAATTTTATACAATTGTTTTTTTTTTCAAACAGCTAGTACATTTGTATTTATTTCTGTGACATATAAATTTGTACTCCTGTAATATAGCAATAGAATTCAATTGTAAGAGTAATTTGTAAAGAGAATAACTGTAACAGAAACATAATTCAATGTTTGCTTAAATCTAAATGAAATTTAAGTTTACTAAATTGAAACTTGTAATTCATCTTACAATACGCTGAAACTATAGTTCGTGATACTGTAAAGAGAGTGTAACCATCGGTATAGAGCGGGTAGTGTACTTGAATGATATGAACAACCCGTCACCAGACTGCAGAATTTCTTGTAAACAGGAGTTTATGGTCATGTTCAGGAGTACTGTTACGCTTTTAAATAGAAAATAGGTAAAATAAATTTCCCAGCTTCCAAAATCTTTGTGAAATTTGAAAGTACGTTTTCAAAAGAACATCTCTTAATTTTGGAAAATATGTCCAAATGTAAGTAAACACTACATCTATATTTATATACAGTCAAACCCCATATCACAAACTAGATGGGACTGAGAAAAAAATTTAAGATATCCAAGGGTTAGAAATATTGAGGGTGAAATACATGGAGAAAAATGGTTGGGACTTTCAACTCACTTTGAAATATCCATGGTATTTGAGATACTGATGTTAGAGATACTGAAGTTAACTTTATCTTCTATTTTTAAATCAGTTTAAATCCAAGGTAAAGATAACACATTAATTTGATTTATATTTGTTCATTAGAAATTCTGTAATTCTTGCTAAAATCACATGGCTGTTAATCATGTAGAAGAGTTGTCTTTCTGTGTGCTCTTCACAACTTGCGACGTGTACACGTGTTGAGTAAAATTACTACGGAGGCTAAAGTGAGAGGCTGGATGTGTGTTTATGTGAAAGAGGTATTAATATGGAATACGATGCTAGACAGAAATCTCTAATGAAATCGCAATCTCACCAAATAGTTTAATATCAAGATTTTGACACTAAAAACCTGGTCATAATTTGATTTGCAAAACCAAGTTTCCTATGTTCCATGTGGTATCATAAATAAATCTTTTCAGTTGATAATACGATAATTAACACATGGAAAATAGTGTACAAGACTTCTCTATTTTGTTCAACGAACCTTGACTATTTCCAGTTTCTATTACCTTGTTAATATTGTGAAATCACTATTTGCGTGGTGTCAAATTTTCTTCGTTTTATAAAAAATTATTGGTTCTTGGGGATTTGATTTTGTGGTTAGGGAAGTGTAGACTAGTTATGTATCTGAAATTTTATATTTTGTGGTGGACGTGAATTCGTGGGTCTCTTTGTATGTCAAAAACCATAAAAATTAAACACCCCGAAAATTAATTATTTCACCTTTAGCATTTAACAAATTAAACTAAACTAATTAATATTATCATTTTAGATTTAACTGACGCATCAATTGCAGGCATTGCTATTGGGGGAATATTTGTTCTTGTACTAGTCATTGCAGGATTCGTCTGTGTTTGCAGGTATGTGTTTCGGCTGGCAAAGGTATATAGTCCAGAATATTATAATGAATAACATTTTTCTTGGGATTGACTGAAAATAAATGCTTATGAATTTTTTTTTATTATTTGTCAATGAGTATTCATCACTGGATTTATATAAGATAGACAATTTTATTTTTTAGATATAATACTTTCAAGAAATTATATTTAAGTTCATTTAAAATATTTTTTGAGTAGAAAATTTGCAGTGAAAAAGTAATTAAAGAAAACGCTAGATGGTACAATGTACAGGTAGGCGAACACGAGTTATCGTTCATAGTACGAGTTATCGTTCATTATGTAGTAGATCTATTCACTCGTACGTGGAATCTGACATAGGTGAACTAAACTTTGTGTATGGTGCTCATTTTCCTTGAACATAACGTAACCTTTTTATTTCTTTTACAGACAAGTAATACGAAAATTAGGTCTGGATGAAACATTTGATATAGAAAATATACAAGTTAGACTCTTTGAAAATCTGGTATGTATGAGTTGAGTGAAAAATATAATAATTACAGACAATTTTGATGATCACTTTGGTGATAGACATTGAATCTATTTATTTAAAGCAATGGTTCTGTTCTAAACGGTTATTATAAATCAATCTTCTATGAGATATAATCTGGACAAAGAACTCTTCTTAATTGAAGGTTATAACAAGATTCTTCCAAGAAAACATGTCACCTATAGTACAACATTTTTAAGGATAAAATTGTTTCAAACTGGATTTTCTTTCTGATCAAAGTTATTTGGAAACTTGTTTTATTCTTGAGTGGAAAGTTAAATGCAAAGGCCTGCAAGGTCAAGAAGTGGTTATTAATATTTGTAGGACTTGAATTAACAAGAAACTGACACAATGAATCATACCTCCATCTAATACTGATAAATATATAGACATCATGCACCCCCACCCCCCACCCCCCCCCCACCCCCCCAAAAAAAGTAAAACAAACTTTTTACAAGGTCAGGAAGCCTATATTCAATAAAACATCTATCAATTTTATTGGCAGAAATACATGTTTAAGAAATTTCTGTCACTTGTTCTCTTGTTAACAAAGGGAATGGCAAAAAGACAGAGAACTGAATGCTTTAGGTCTGAGGTTTTTGTGAAGTTGTCTTTGAAGTCATCCTCATCATTTCTTAATCTGAACACAAACTCTTGCATTATACATTACAAATTTTTGATAAGTATACAAAACGAAGATACACCATATTATTTGTTTTTGTGTTTTTCAGCCTACTGGAAGCAATTTGTATAACCTTATTAAGACACCAGCTGACAGGTCCAGCTTCCCCCTCATCACCCCTGTAAGTATACTGTAACAACTGATAATATGCACTTTAGTTTAAATAACATCACCACATAACTAGATTCTGGATAACTCCACACCATCTGACACACATATACTGTAACAACTGATAATATGCACTTCAATTTAAATAACATCACCACATAACTCGATTCTAGATAGCTCCACACCATCTAACACACATATACTGTAACAACTGATAATATGCACTATAATTTAAATAACATCACCAGAACTCCCTTCGTACATGTAACATTTCAAAGACCACCGCTAAACAGCAACCTTACAATGTCCAATTTACAGAGACCACCATAAGAAACCAAACCAATAATGTCCAACCTAGGAACACCCTTCCTACAAGTAACATTTCAAAGACCACCACTGAACACCAACCGTGCAATGTCCAATTTAAGAATACCCTTCCTACAGTACACAGACCATCTCTACAAACCAACCCAACAATGCTAAAATCCAGTGTAGCAACAAAGAAAATTCAACTGTTGATCAGTTGAATTGTGACCAATCAACTAATGGACCGGACGTTATACATAAAACTTTGCCAAACTGCCAATCAATTAAGTACACCAGGATACCATCCCAGCAGAACGTTGAATACAGAGCATCAGACCACTGACATGGATTCTCGTCCGCAGCTTTTAACAGCCGAGTCTGAAAAGTTTACAGACTACCTCCCCCATGATACAAAATTTGAAGAACTTACTGCCTTTCAGAATAATAAAGAAAATTCCTTGGTCTCAAATTGTGTAGTTGGTGATACAACGGATCTTTCTGTTATGAATTCTGTGCCTCGTGGTATAAACAGTAATGTAACGAAAGGTATCACTGATAACGCAACAGCTGATAGATCAGATTATGTGCCCAAAGGTATGTTGCATTATGTGCCTAATGGGACATCAAATCCTTTACCTATTGGTAAATCAAATCATTTTCCTGCTGGTACATCAGATTATGTGCCAAAAGATATGAATTCTTTCCCCATTTATTTGCCAGATGACACAACTGATAGTATTTCTAGTGATACAAAAGATCATGTGCCATGTAGTCCAACAGGTTATGTGCCAAATGGTACAACCGACTATGTACCAAATTGTGCAACAAATCATGTGCCAAATGGAACAACAGAATATGTGCTCAGTGGTACAACAAATTATGTGCCCAATGGTACAAATAATTATGTGCCCAATGGTACATCGATTAGGTGCCCAGTGGTACAGAAGATGAAAAATTTACAATGGAGAACTTGCAATGTGTATAATCTGAGCATCAAAATTATTCTTCAATGAAATGGAGTTGGATGAATCTCTAAATCATTGAACAATAATCAACTCCATTCTAAATCCGGCTCCTCTAGAGGTGACCAGGCTAGTCACAATTTATTAAAAAAAAAAAACTGGTTATTTATCTAAATATGTTCAGATTGCTCCACAGTGTCCTCGTCAATGGAAAATAATGTGCTAGGAAAAATTGCCAGGGAGTGAGAGTTATTTCTATCTTTACTTTCATCGTAGCTAAATTTCCTTAGGTGTGTTATATACACTGGTAAATTAGAGATCCATCATACTTGGTAGTTTGAAATATAATGACACAATGCTTAAGGTTTAAAGAAAGCATCCAATTAATCATTTACTGTAAAATTGATGAATCAAATTCAATTATTAGATTTCACTGTTTGTGTGTGTCTATTTTGAACACAAGTTAATATTCAAATTTTTTTCATAACCATATTTACATGTATATAAAAACCTTTTCAGTCTGGTGGCTTGTATTTTTCTCTGACCATAATATGAGATAACTCAGAATTGTGCAATTTGCTTTATCAGTAAAATGCGTAGTAAGAATTATTTTGGACATTTATAATACATAATTTATTACAAATTTGTATTTGTACAAATGTACGTTTTACTCCAATCTATAAAGAATCAAAGCAAAATAAATCTTTAATAGTAAAGTATTATTAGTGATTCTGTAAGATATAAGCAATATCAATGAAATATAATGATTTGTCAAGCTAATAGATATTAGAAAGCCTATGCTTATTATCTACTGTACAATTCAACACATGTGGTGTTTTGCAAGACACCATTAGAGACCATATCAAACAATAAGGTTTATGCAGAAAAATATTCATTTTGACAACTGGCTAACCATTTTATAATTTGAAATTTTATTCTTTAAAAATTGAGTATTTTTTTTCCTTTTACCACCCAAGTCCCTTTTTTGTTGTAAACATTTTTAGTAAATCCTTTTTACAATCTACTTTTGTATATTTTTCATGACATATGTTAAATAGATTTCCTTTTTTTTTGGTCATTTCATTTTTAGATAATTTCCTCAGGTTATTTACTACTTTCTGCATTTTGCAATACCTACAATCTAATTAAAATTTTAAGTTCCGAATCCGCTACCACTTCTCAAACGTTGGATTCGGAACATCTAACTTTAATTATATTGTTTGATAATGTACACTAATACGGTGATGGACTATGAATCGTATGATTTTATTTGTGTTTATACTTTTTCTTTCACCTTGCAGACCAAGGCTTTTACTTCGTGTCGTGTCGTTACGGGCTTGCTCGTGTAAGTGCACTGGCTATTCTGATAAGCGTTCCACGTGAAATTTTACAAACTGTTATTTTGTTTATTTGCTGCTATTTACTTAAATTAAAATTGAGTTGAAATGCAAATTTACTTAATTTATTCTGGTAAGAACTTAAAACTGGCGTCTTTAAAGAGGGATAAAGCTTTGTTACTGCACGATTTGAAATGTGAACAAATTGTGTAAGATTACAATAATTATATATAGGTATTCTGTTGTTTATAATTTTATAACAATCAGCATCTCTTGATAATAAGAAGGGGATAATTGAATTTTCTGAAGATTATATGTATAGAATGTAGTCTTGATATATTGAAGGAACACACATTAATTGTAAAGCAGGTTTTCAATTCAAGCACGCTTTTTTACCCACTGGAAGACTTTTCTTTGCCGCATTCACACCCACTCTCCAACTCATACTATACTTCCAAAAAGAAATGTTAGAAATAAATTTTATTTCAATAATTTTTAAAAATGGTCTCATCAAGCAATGTGTGATAAAGCAAATTCTCTTTTAACGAAGTATACCTGTAGCTAGAAATGGTTGTCCTAATGACGAGTGTCGTATAAGCGTTATGTAATGGGTAGTAGCCAGTGGGAATGTGTTTTGGTAATGGCGTGTTCGAATGGGTTTACAGAGATTTCTAGTGTTCGTTCTATTACTGCACAGGCATTACCAGGCAAGTAAAAACTTTGCTCATCGTAATAAACATGTCTACGAAGATTTGTGGGAATGAGTCGGCCATTTATTATTTTCTTGCGGAGTATTTAAAATAATGCTTAGTATACCCATGTTAGGGAATTGATTACTTGTGTATTATAGCCTTGTGTTATCTCTTTTTTTTTTTTTTTTTTTTTACATCCATTTGATTTGTTTTGGTTGTTTTTTCTGCATAAAAATCTTTACAAACATATATTGCAGGGTCAAGTAAATGTTCAACCAACCCCCTATCTTTACTCCTCACCAAAATATTAATGTTATGAAGGATTGATTGATTGATTGTATGTTGTTTTACTTTTTTTTTTTAATTTTGTTTTCCCATTCGAGAATTTTGGCGTTTACTCGGCAAGCAGGGCCATTGAGCAGTGAGGGATCTTTATCGTGCTAACGCCTACCGTGACACGGGGCCTCGAAGGAACAGTTGCTACCCATTTTTTTTATCGACTTAGGTCAGTCGCGACCTAGATTCGAATTTAAGACCTTCCGATCACGGAGCGAGCGCTCTAACGACTGAGCTACCGTTAACGGTGCTATGAAGGAGAAACTTGAGACTTATTGTGCAGCTACATAAATGTTTTCAAGAAGTGGGATAAATCAAATGTGGCTTAAAAAAACTCCAAAAACTTTTTGAAAATTTAAAATTTCAAAATTTTTCAAACATCAAATGCATTTAAACATAACTTTTATATTCTTCATACAACCATCCCTCACGATAAATTAAAGAGCAGGCTTTTTGTCATCATAGACAACTGCTTCCTAACAAGAGGCCCATGGGCCACATCGCTCACCTGAGCAGTGTGGCTAGGAAACAAGAGGCCCATGGGCCACAACGCTCACCTGAGTCAATATGGACCTGCTGTTTTTCATCAGCAGATTTCTTCTCCTATATTTCTCCTATATATTCATATATAAAGCTTTGATCGCCTGTTCTAGGCATACCCTACCCCGAGGTGCCATGTTTTGAATGAAATTGAATATAAACCTTCTGAGGATGCTTCTATCTTCATATAACTAATCATGATTTTTCTGTTCTTTAAAACATTTTAAATATGTCTAACACCCTACCCTGGGGGGTGGGGGGGTGGGGTGGGAGGGGGGTCATGATTTGAACAAACTTGAATGTACACTACCTGAGGATGCTTCCATATCAATATGACTGATCATGGCTTTGTTGTTCTTGAGAATGAAGAATATTTTTAAAGATATTTCCTGTATATGTTCTTTGTAAAACTTTGTAAAACTTTGATCCCCCATTATGGCCCCACCCTACTACTGGAGGATGCCTTGAACAAGCTTGAATCTACAATATTTGGGGATGATTCCATATCAATATGACTAATTGTGGCTTTGTTGTTCTTGAAAAAGAAGATTTTTAAAGCATTTTCCTATATATTCCTATGTAAAAATTTGACCCCCATTGTAGCCCCACCCTACCCCCGGTGGTCATGATCTGAACAAATTTGAATCTACACTACTTGAAGATAATTCTATATCAATATGACTAATTGTGGCTTTGTTGTTCTTGAGAAGAAGATTTTTAAAGATTGTCCGTATATATTCCTATGTAAAACTTTGATCCCCCATTGTGGTCCCACCCTACCCCCAGGGGTCATGATTTGAACAAACTTGAATCTACACTACCTGAGGATGATTCCAAAT